CTACCACATTCACGACCCAAAATTCCTCCGATGAGCCCGAATCCCCTTTCCGTTCTCTTTCATTTTTTGACCATTAGATTCCTGACTCATTTCTGGTTTCGGACAACCTAAGAAAAACCCCAACCGCGAAGGAGGAACAATGAAGTCACCACACCAGAAACTTCACTTGCTGATAAGTCTCGATTATTTTTCATTTTTTTTTATGTTAATAGAGGTCACATAACCTTGTTTTTTGCATGTTTTTGCACAGGACCGATCAAAAAGGGCTAGACCAAGAGGAGGCACAGCCGTAGGTAGCGGAGCAGGCGTCGAAGCACAGCGACGCCGCCGTGCTAGAACCCTAAAGCGGCTTTAAAAAATTTTAAACCCTTTTTTGGCCGTTTCTCAAATATTTCTAGGATATTTGACGCGTGTTTTTAGTTTTTATAGAAAAATACAAGAAATGTGAGAACTAGGAACTGCTGGAAAGTGTAGTAAAAAAGACGGTATTTTAAATATCAACCCGGAGTAAGAATCCCTTATCCTTTCTCCAATTAAGGTTAATTAAAGTCTCATAAATAATAAATGATGAAATTGTAAATATTGACCATTGATTAATTAAATACTGGTCACTGATAGAGCCAGTAATTGATCAGTATGTAATTGTCTTATTTTATCTATACTGCTCATTTATTGCTATGTTGCTTTATTTGCTTATCGTTACTACATGCACTTTAATTTATTAAGTTTAATTGATTTCTCACTAATTAGTTTACTCAACCATTTTACCCCTATCTGTTAACTAGTTTGAATGAATGTCTTGATTTCACCTTCGTTAATTATCGTGTCTTAAATTACATTGTCTATTTAATTATTGTCCTATTGTCCTGTAATTATAAAATGAGATTGTTGCATGTAATGGGTGGTTAAATGATGATGTAAACATGTATGTGTTAGTTAACGTTATTGAACCAAAAAGGCTTACCAGGTGTCATAAGAAAGGGTGTACGGACCCTGTATATAGGATAAAATCTACCATGAACGTTACCTTAGTAGAATGGGGTTGAGAAGTCTTATACTGGAAGAGGTTGGGAAATATTTTTCTCATGCTCATATCAGACGGGGTATTAAGGCGGTGGTACGTTTGACACCCATTACTGGAGGGGGTATGGGGATGCCCGGTTGATTAATAGATTGAATATTAGGTCCGTGTATAGTGGGAACCTCTATGGACTCCCAGTGACACCGATAAGTAAGTAAAAATGTAAAGTCTAATTATTGTTAATTTTTTTAAATGTATGATGCGTATTACTATTCTAGTTTTTTCATTCACAAATGATATATGGAAAACTTAAAGGTGAGTAAGAAACGAATATTTTTAAAATTAAATGAATTTACTTAAAAAGAAAAATAACTCAATTGGTTGTTTTTTTTATTTTTATCAGCCTTTGATTTTTCGTATCAGTAGTAAAGTGTTAATATTTTTATTGAGTTAGTGTAACTCATTCCCATTCATTAACCATTTCAGATTAGGACGATCAAAATCCAAATCCTGAGCAACAAGAAAGTTAGCAATTAAAGATTGTCGCCCGTTTTCTATCAGAGTTGCGCAGTGAAGATCGACCCTATAGGTTTCTAGTTACACTTTTGTTTTCTGTTATTTTAATTTCCTTCAAGGGATATTCCCTAACCCAATCGGACATTTTGATTAAACTGTGTAATGAATGTAAAGTTTAAATTTTTTATTGTTTCTACTAT